CGTCCTATTTCACGTTTCAATTATATAGTTGTTGCGCTAACAACTTTTCCATAACAAACTTGTTTTATTTACACTAGGAATAATGAATAGAACATAACTTGTTTCTTATCATTTCTATATATATGACTGGAAGCAACGTATAAAATACAGTAAAATCTCTATATAGTGAACACCAACGGAACTGTCCAAAAAGTGTTCACGAAGGGAAGTGTTCATTAAATAGAGATTTTGCATTGGCTAAACCATTACATGTATACAGTGCATGGTAAGTATGACAGAACGATGATTACGAACCTTTTTAATTAGAATTTCATTTATATTAATGTAACAAACATATCTTTTAATTCGTCTACTACACATTTATTTAATTTTCATGAAACAAAATAACAAAAAAATATTTTTTTAAAATCTATTTTACATATCTGTTCAATTTTTATGAAAAACAATCATCGATCGTTGTCTGTTTAACTGCTTTCGAGTCAATGCAAAGTTGAGTAAGCTGTGAGTCCAGCTGAGAAATAAGTAAATGTAGTTGTAGTTGTTGAGTGGCAGCTAGAAGATGTAATCGTCTGACCATCTCCATTGCTTCAGTGAGCTTTGGTGGTGTTTCAGTCGGTATGTCATCATCTTCTTCATCATAATTGTTGTTTTTCTTGGTATTGTAATTTTCGTCGACGATAATCAGATTGTCGTCGATATCGCTTCATTCATTGAAGACTGGAATGTCTGAATCTATTTCGGCGAATTGACTTGCTGAAAGAAAGACTTTGTCCATCGATATTCATAAGAGAAAGAAATGTATCCAGATTGTTTAAGGCTGTGGTGATATTGTCAGTAATTTCTTCGTCAGAATCGATATTGTTATTAATTGTAGTACTATTTGTTATCATCGACTTTTGAAGAGATGAAGCCTGCCATCCGGAACGTGTTACGAATTGTCGACTGGGTGACCGCTTCTCAAGCACTTTTCGTCCAGTGTACCGCATCAAGTGCTGTAATAATAATGTCGTCAGATGAGGTGGCGACAGCACAACGTGATATCACATGTTTCACGAGATGTTGACCTAAATGAATGTATAGCGTTGTTTAGCAAAATAACATAAATCACGATAGTTATGAAAATGACATTTAAAATTCTTGATGATTTCCTGGTCGAGAGGTTGTAATTTCAAAGTAGTATTTGGAGGGAAAAAACGTGAGACAGATGTTGGAATATTCAATATCAGCATTGTGACAAGGTGCACGATCGATGAACAATAAGATTTTGCGTTTTTGCTTGAGCATACTTTTGTTTACGTCAGCAACCCGTTCATCGAACAGACTTGCAGTCATCCAACTTGTGCGATTCGATCGCTATTGATAGGTAGTTCTTTGGTATTTAAATTCTTAAAGCAGCGGGGGTTAACTGTCTTGCCTAAAACGCTAATATTAATACAGATGAATAGAAAAGATTAAATAGAGGATAGAGAACTCATCGATAAGAAGGGGCTGTAGCTTATCGGTGCCAGTCATGTTGGTGCAAAGAAGAACGGTAAAACATTTTTTCGATCATTTTCCACCCTTGCATGTATCCTTGGCGGTGACAAGCGAACGATTTGGTAGTGCTTTAAAGAGTAAACCGGTTTCGTCAGCATTGTAAACGTCATTTGGATCATAACTATCGATTATTGATACAAGTCGTTTTTTCCATTCGTCAACAGTTGTAAGGTCGACTGTTGCTGATTCTCCGCATATCATTCGATGTTGTATACCATGTCGTATTCGGAACTTTTCCAACCAGTCGTTGCTTGCCTTAAAATTGTCAGCCTTCGGCCCACCCAGTTGTTGACAGATTTGTCGAGCTCGTTCTCATAAAAGAGGACCTGATATTGGAATGTTTTTGCTGCGTTGTGCCACGAACCATTCATATATTCTTTCATCGAGTTGTTGGGAAAATTCATCACGTATATTGTGCCTCTTGGCTGAACTTTCATTTTGTTCGTAATCTTCCATGTATTCGGTCTTACGCTTGATAATATTTGATATACTGCCGATCGAGATCTTATATTTGTCAGCCAGTGCATGGTAAGAAAACTTTTGTTCATTTTCACGAATCAATTGTATCTTTTCAGAAAGAGTTAATGTATATCTTGTTATCATTTCACAATCATAAATGATAAAGAGTATTGTTCTTTCACATGCGATCGATCAATTCGTGATGGACTATTCATCTTTTTTTTTCATATATGCCACGAATTTGTTGTGATGAATAGATCGTCAATGAGTTGGCCTATCTCCGCTTCAAAATATACGCTATGTTCTCTTTTATTCTATTATTTCATATACATGACATGTGCATAATTTATAGTATGTATGTTCACTATTTAGAGGTTTTCTTTAATCCAGGAACCAAAGATCGTGTTCATTGTTCAGAGTTGGGATGTGTTCGCTAAATAGAGGTGTTCACTCACAGAGCTTTTACTGTACTATGAATTACACTGACGATTGTTATTCATTTAACAAACGAATCAGCAATGACTGTTTCCAACGATTATTAGTTGATGACGCGACAAGTTTCGATTTTTATATAAAAGCAAGTAAAACAAATGTGGAAAACTTGGAAGTTTATATCCAATTCATTTGGCCATATAAACGAGAAAAATTTCGGATCGTTATACACATAGATAAATGTTAATAATCTTTTTTTTGTTCATACTTCAATGCATGATAACTAAAATAATGTGGCACTTATCGCAAAATATTCTTTGTAATTTCTTCGATGTATACATTTTTTTGCCGACATTAATCACATTTTCTATTGAGTCTTCTTTGGTGATGCTAGTAGTATCAGTTAACTACAGTATCAATAGTAATGCAATTCAGCGTGATCTTTGCAGAGCATCACCAAACCACTATGGCAAGACAAACTAATAGGTATCAGTGTTATTGATTATTCTAAAGGATTTTTCAAATAGCTTGACGTAGTTCCAGTAGTTTTGAATATTCTGGTGACATCACATAGTACCAACACGAACTATGTATCATCCTTTGCGACACCAGAAGGATCGGAAATTGCTGATTTCTACAGACCAAAGAGATCCAGTACTACTTACTACCTACTTGGAAACAGCACTTAACACATACTTGGGAATAGTACTTAGCACTTACCAGTAATGGTAATGAGAATATGACACTTCTAATACCAATGCCAATACTACCAATACTGTGTTGGTATTGCTACATCCCTATCACCAGGATCAGGTATTAAATATCGAGCTAGTTCAGCTTCAAATTTAGTATTTTTTGTTACCATATATTGTGAAGGACTCCACAATGTCGTCATTTTTTTTTCTTTGAGATTTTAGTTTTGTAAAGAATATATGTAGACAAGAAAGAAAGAAAGATGAAACATGGAAGAATATGGTCTTGACGTCTAGGAAAGAAAAAGAAAATTGCAAAAAGAGAAACTCATCGTTATAATAATATATATGAACCTATCCGGCAAGATCAAAGATAGAAAAGAAAAGAAATCATTGTGTGTTTTGTTTCTTTCGTTATACCTTTTTCAAGATTGAATATTTTCATCTTGAATTAATGGGTCACTCTAGATTATAGACACTATAGACAGCGAGGAAGATGATTTAAAAACATTTTAATAATAGCCAATAGTAGTTTAAAATGTAAAATTACGTAATTTGTTGACATCTTGTCTATTCCATATTTTCCTTTTCAAGATTTTTCTTTGTGTGTTTTACTCTCATATATTTTCACATATGGAATCATATATATATAACCTCTGTTGCAAAAGTCTTTAGACAAAATGTTCGTTCGTTTTCCGATCACTTAAAAGCAACTAGTGCGAGTCAACAGCAGTTAGTAAGACTCAGAATTTTGTGCTCTTTCCGAATATGGACTCAGAAATGTTGTGTCTGTTTTTGTTCGAGAGTAGTGAGGAAATGTTTGAAAGGCCTAAAAAATTAGTTTGGACGGAACGGGTGTGCCGAAGTTTCTGGACACAATGTTTGTTCTTTTTTGGCATGCTTGAAAGTATTTTAGACGAGTGGAAAACTATAGGTTATTACCAGAATCTTATGCTCTTTCCGAATATGCACTCAGAAATTGGATGTCTGTTTTTGTTTGGGCGAAGTGAAGGAATCTTTGAAAGGTCTAAAAATTGGTTTGGACGACGAATAAACAGGGTTTTTGCTAACTCCCATAAATCCCTTTGCGAAGGTGCTAAAAATTGTCGGAGTCGGTGATTTTGTAGAGCGAACACTTCTTTACAAAACGTGATATCGCACTAAGCTCTAGCTTGAACCTATAAGCATATTCTCAAGAACTACTTTCTACGTAAAACGCGCTTTCGTCAAAAAGTCGATTTTCCAAAATGAGGGTGATACAGAAAAACGAAAATTTAGGTACCTTATTGGAAGATAAAAAGAAAGTCAAATAGTGCGTTTTGTAGGGTAAATTTTGCTCTACAAGCTAATCTATCAACAAAAATTTCAACTTTTAGTTTCGGATCCCAATAGTGAAAATGTACGAAAAAATTTTCCGTCCAAACTAATTTTTTAGGTCTTTCAAAGATGTCCTCACTACTCTCGAACAAAAACAGACACAAAATTTCTGAGTCCATTTTCGGAAAGAGCACAAAATTCTGAGTCTTACTAACTGCTTTTGACTCGCACTAGTTGCTTTTAAGTGATCGGAAAACGAACGAACATTTTGTCTAAAGACTTTTGCAACAGAGGTTAATTGGTAGTCTTAGTGTTATATTTAATTCTCTTTATCTTAATCTAACTGTTCAAAGATTTAGTGAGCATAAAACATTTTCAGATGTTCTTTATATAATTAGTTTATTATCATTATCAATAGTATTCTTTTTAATGGTCTTTTTTTCTGATGAATTATCAAATGTACAATTACTATGTAATATTTATAAAACATTTTCTTTTTGATTATATTTCTTAGCATCAACTTTAGGTGGAGGTTTACTTAACGGTTCAACATTTTAGTATACAATGAAAAATTCTGCATTAACTATAAGGTATTTATCTCATAAAATCCAATCTTAAAAAACTAAAACGAAATATTTTTTAAAAATTTAGTGCGGTTGGCGTACTTAAAATTATTTTACAAGTATTTTTTTGATTTATTTATATTTGATCGTTTATCAATAAATCAATAATATTTTTTATGCATTTTTCTAGATTGTTATTTTAAATTTTTCTTATTTTGTTTCGGGTTTTTTTACTTTATCAAAAATCAAATGTTTAACCGCGTAAGTTTTAAATTGAACTAATCGTTCAGTAAATTTTTTGTTTTTAGTTGGCATTCAGTCGACGATTGGGACTCAAGCATATGAGTAAATTTACAAGAAAAAATATAATAATAATAGTATATATTTCCTTTAGCGGCGCACTGTTCTTGTTCAACGTGATAAAACGTGCTGTCAATGTGGAGAAGATTTACTAGCTGGTCAATTTGCTATTAAAGTCGTGTATTGGTCAGGAGGGTTGGATGTAAGTGTTACAATTGATTTCATATAACCATCATTCTCTTGTTTTTTTTAGTTTTATCATGACAATGTCAAGCGCCACGCCGGGTGTGGGCGTGGGTGGGTGTGAGTGACGGGTGGGTGTGGGTGTAGCTGAAGAGATCCCTACACCCACACCCATATCCTTCAAAGACTTCGCGAGACTTCAGTCATAGAGACTTCAGATTTTCACAAGACTCTAAAAGACTTCAAGAGACTTCACGGAACTTCATGAGACTTCCAAAGACTCCAAGAGACTTCACATGACTTCCAAAGACTTCTTAAGATTTTACAGACTTCTTGAGACTTCTCAGACTTTGTGAGACTTCTCAGACTTTAAAAAACTTCAAGACTTCATTGAACTTCAGGAGTGAAGTCTGCTGTTTTGCCCTAGGTTAAAATTTCAAAAAAAAATGTTCAAATTACCATTTTGTATTTTAGATCTCATTTAGTCTTTGTAACAAACCATGTTCACATGAAAGTAGTCGAATTGTTCGAGATTATTTTACACGAGTAATAATTAATTAATTAAAGTTAATTTAAAACTTTGCTTTGTTTTTGAATAAAAAAAGACTCTTGAACTCATTTATGAAAAACATCATGTTGCTATTCCACTTGAATATGTTTTTTCTCCCATTCGAAATATTTATTATCAACAAAAATAAATAAAATTAAAATTTCAAAAGATAAATAGTTATGGAAATATTGTAATAAAATATTTTATTCAGAATATTATCTTGATATACATTTTGGTAATTGACATAATGATACATTATTATACGTAAGAATGAATATCAATGATGATAATCATTTTGAATAATATAAAAAATATATTTTAGAATGAAGAATCACTTTGTTTATCAGATTATTATACAATATTTCGATGTGATGTTTTAAAACGACCAAAGAAATCTTTAAAATCTCTTAATCCATTATCATGGGGATCAGGAACAATAAAACAAAAAAATAAAAAAATTATTAATGAACAATAACTTGGTGTTTTCTTTTTAATATTTTTTCTGCATTTTTTTTCTGAAGTTTTTTTGATCTGTGATACATTTCTGCTTTCATAACGTGTGAGGAAGGTTGATGAATTCATAGTTTATAGTAGTTCTCTTCCTTGAATGATGATGTTTTATTTATTTATTATTGACGTTTCGGTACACCAAGGTGATCTTCGTCAGAAATAGGAATGATTAAAGTTTACATAAAATTTTCAAAATATTCTCTTTTTTTTCTCTTTATATATACGTCTATATTGTTGTTTGCTTTCGTTCTTCTGCTTTGAATGACATATATAATATATATAATAGTGGCACGGACAAGACGGTAATACTGGCAAGGAAAGGCTAGCCTTTCACCTTGAGGGTGTGGGTGTGGGTGTTAATCAGCCTCTAACTCAACCAACACTCACATCCACACCCACACCTTAGTTTCGATTAGCTTATCCTGAACAAAATTGAATAAAAATTATGAAGATATCAAGATACAGCAAACAATTCCCAACACGAATCCATCAAGTGAAAACGAATTCAAATTTAGAAACAAACTGATGTATCTAATATTGATGCGTGAGGACACACATCTCACATATGAGGGGAGAAATGTTAGCGGTGGTTCACCCTCATTCCTGCCCCTTGATGCTTTTCTTTCTATCTTACCTCTTTATTCTATGGTTATCTTTTTCTTTTTTGTTCTCTTCTCTTTTCCTATTACGTGTTATATATCGATACAAGTTGTTAAGAACTTTTTAGAAAGATATGCATTTTAAAACTAAAATAAACTTAAGCTTGTTTACGAGCTAATAAAGCGTTTTTATATTAAGCCTACCATAATCATTATTCGCTGTTGTTACTTCTGCCAGTGGTCGATCGGTGATGCGCTAACTGATTTTTAAATATTTCTGTTAAATGAAAAACAGAAATTTACAAATAAAATTCTTTTTTTTCTATGAACCCTACCGAAGTAAGAATCATGGATTTTTTCGTAATTTAGATCGTTTACGCACTGTTATTGTTTCATCATGATCACCTTCATTATCACATATAAAAGATTCAACATAGTGTGTCCAATTTTTCTAAGATTCTTTCATCATCAGACGAATCAAAAACAAATCAATATTGTTTCTGTACGATGATCATTTTTAAACTAGATAAAAAATACGAATTCGACGAAAGCCTTACAACTCAAATTTTGAATTTGAGCGCAAAATATAATTAATTCAATTCAAATCTCGAGACAATAATGGTGTGCATTTGGATATCAATCTTCTGTGCACTCATACCAAACTCTATCGAACATCTTGTAATTGAGAAAGCGACATTGCAATTCAGATATTTCCTAGATGGAAGTATTCGAAAATTCAGAGTCAATGAGAACTTTTGTTCTACTCATTGAAATCTATCTACTTTCAAATAATTCAATAGCACTAGAAAATTTTAATAAGGACTAAGATACTATGTAGTATCTAAAGGCAAAATGAAGTTATTTATATTGGAAGTAGACATGTAAAGGCTTTTTCCGTTAGTCAACTTAATATTTTCGAATTCTAATACAGACACGAACTCAATTAATCAAATCTTTAGATCTGAATTTAAAGTCTACCGGATTTAGAGTCAATATATTTGTTTTATGTTCGACTCCTAATATAGAAAAACCGAGTCTGTTTCGATCAGATCATGGAGAATCTTAAAGAGATTCGGACCTTCAGTCTGCTGATGAAGAGTTATGATGGTTTCAATGAAATTTTTACTTAAAAAAATCCATTTCTGCAAAATCAGAAACAGAGATTTCTGACTTGAAACTTTGTCTATTAGCAAATCTGATAGCCCTGAATGTTTCAACGAAAAAAAAAAACAAATCCTCCTTGAGATGATCATTTTCGTCGAAACTTTTTATTTTGGATTTTTTGGCAAATGTCTTACTTTCAGTAAAAAATTCCATTAACCTTCACAAGATCATCTGGGATCCTAGCCGATTCCATTATATTTTTACAAGTACACAGCATTAGACAAAACCGTACCTGTTCTAGATATACCATAATGAAGACGCTAATAACATTACTCAATTATCTAAAGTTGTTTTTTGCTAAGATAAAGCAATTCGAAGTTAGCGCGAATGTTGAATAGTAGTACAACGATTTCAAACACCTCGAAAATCAACGAAGATTAAATAACATTAAAAAAATTGAGATAAAAATTCTTCTAATTTACTTCTTTTCTTTTTTGCTCTTCTTGTAGTCAAATCTCATTTTAAACTATTATTTCTGATAACGAACTAAAATAACTCCATGCATTATTCTTATTTTATCCATTGGAATTCGTATGGAAACCAAGTGATAATTCGAAAAATGTTTGCGCCAGAGTTCGAGGATCTGTAACTTTTTATCAATAGATTATCAACTCATTCGTATCCATGAAAGATTGATATTTAAACAAAACATAATGGTGTGGGGTGTATGTGGATTCAAGTGTTCTTAACAACTACACTAACATTCACACCCTTCATAACAAGAATACTGAAAATAAAAATTACATTTTTTCTATTCTCTCTATGCTGTTTCTTCAAGTAAGACAGAAGTTGTAGAAATACTGTCGACATTTTTTGACTTGTAAATACGAATAATCTGAGGCAATATCTGTATGAGACAGAGAATGTTCATTGTTAAGCTTAATAGTTGTAAGAGCACCATTTCTTTGGTCTGAAAAAATAGAAGTCCAAATTTTTTTTATCATCTTTATTCTTATAATTTTTTGGTGTCACACAACTCACACACAGTCACAGATGCATACATGACTTGATAAAATTTTTAGCTGCATATTGTTTGTTGCCTTTCTTTTCTTTCGTTTCTTGCTGTCAGTAGTCACTTGACTTTAGCTCACGAGTCATATGTAAATCTTTGACGTCGTCGGCCTCCTTCTCTTTCTCGTCGTCGATCCATTGGTTGCTTAGTTTGTTGCCTTTTCGATGGCGTGGTTCGATACCGAGTGCATCGTCTTTAGCAGTTTCCATTTCGATCAAGGCCGTTCGTTGTGTGTCATTTCGAGCAAATGGTTCTATACCACGATAAAGCTTTTCGATAGCCCGTGTCACGAGTTTTTTATCGATCACATTGGCAGCTTGTACATATCCAATTACTGCTTGAATGAACCAAAGCATTTCGCCATGCATATTGAGGTTTGCTAGTGGTGGCAATCGACCAAGTTCCAGTTTTAGATTAGCCAGTAATTGAGTATTGTCAGGATCATCATTAATATTCGCAACAGCTCGTTCGATGAGTGCTGAACCAGCTTCAAGATTGAATGCGTTCAGAGCACGAATGATTGCTTGAAGAAGATCTGTTAGATTTACTTGAGTCGACATTCGTAACTATTGTCTCAATACACTCGTCGCTTTTTTTTCTTTCTGTTTATGTATAGTGCGGTTCTTTCGTAATATGCATCATAATTACGAAACAACATTGCAAGAACGACATGATGATGATAAATTCGTTGATGATAGAGGCGCGTCACGCGGACTAGCCGAGGATGTGGGTGTGGGATCGATATGAAGCTACTGCAACAAGCACGATTCGCCACTCCGATTGTAGTGGCAATACCATTGGGTGCCCTCTGCCACCTAATTACCGTAGCCGATAGGGGGCGTACACAGACGGATATATTCATTTCTTTGAGAAGGGATATATCCAACGTCAATCAATGTTAAATCACTTAAGCTACCCACCAATGCATTACCACTCACGATGACCGATAGGTATGCCATAACGATCTTAAAACTACCGTAATCCTACTACGTCTACCGAGCGGCACAGAAAATCGTTGAAAGGTTATATGTATTCGTTTATCGGGGCATGATTTGCACATCTATCAATGCAGAATGATGCGAGCAATCAACTGAGTACCTCACTGTACCCAGACAAACGAATGAATGAGACCTCTGAAACTATTTAGAGCAGCATTGGTATTCTGAGGACGTGTTCGACCAATTTCGGCCATTTTCCAACACTATAGATCGTTTGTCTGAGCAAAATTAGGTGCTCAATCGATTTCTCACATCATTCTGCATCGATTGATGTGTAAATCAGGCCCCGACAAACGAATCAATGGCAGCTGTGAACAGATGTACATGCGGATTGACATAACGGTTTGAGTTTTGAGACCATTATTTTTTTCCGAACTTGTTGCTAGGAGAGAAGCATTCAGTTTGCAGATAGAAAGTCGAGTGCTCCATGGAATGATGTCTCATGTATGGTTAGATAATAATAGTTGTGGATTTAGTTGTACGAAGTAGTAGCAGTGACGCATAATAATCATTTTTTTTGCTTGTTCTATCATGTATATAAATATATCTAAAAGAACTCAAAACGTGCCACATTTTTATGGCCCAGATCGCCCCGAAAATTATTTAGACCTGCCCGGCCCGAACGAGACTGTTTTTTACACATGTGTTTCCTCAATAAAATTTATAGATCACTACAGTGATTGCTTATGTACTGGAACCAAATACCTGGCCTTATTTTGAGTTTAATTAGCTTAGACTCTGGGACTAAAAATAAAATTAATATGCAAGAAGTTGAATTGCTTCTTAAGTAAAACAAGCAAAAATATTCAAGATTTTACAATTCCAAAGTGCTCATTCTACATAGCATGATATCTTCTATGGCATCATGTCTCAATTGAGTTACATTCGTGAAAAATTCATCGCATTTCTCAGTGGAAGTATTATTTTTTCTATTTTGACCATACAGTGAGCTAGCTAGTGGTGAAAGCCCTAGGCATACTTTTTCATTCATGTCCTTGATCTGTGCAGATCTCAAGATTTGTCCATAGCACAAGACTCTCTTTCCCAAGACAAGCCCTTGAATGTTTGCATGGGTTCCAAGTAACTCATGCGTTCAACTCAAGAAAATGCAACTATGAGTTTTTATTAAGAATTGAGTCATTTTGAACGTAAAACTGGAAAAATAACTGAAAACAATTCTTTAATAACAGAAACGCTTGTATAATTCAAGCGCATGAGCAAGGATATTAAGCGATAGAATAAGAGGTTCAAGAACTTGAGCTCGCCAAAATGTTTCATGTCTTGCCGCAAGATTTGTCCATGGCGCATGATTTTTTTTGCTCCAGATTCTCAAGTATCTCATGCGCATAGCAAAAAAAGTTTGCTTAGGGAAATAATTTATGAATAAGAAAAAATTTATTGGTACCTAAAGTTTGAAGATAAGCCTCCCAATTTAATCGTTTAGAACTTTTTCGACCCGCTAATAGACTATGTTCTACTGTGCTCTAACTCACGATATCATCAACATCGTGCGAACAAATTTCCATAGGATTCGGCATAAAATCCATAGAATTACCGGTTTTTTGCAGAAAATGATAAACTTGCTATGAATTCACTGCTTAATCAAAAGTGAAGGATTAGATAAAGTATTTTTTAAAGCTCCTATGCTCGGTGACGGCTTATTTTCAGCACATTTTTCTGCAAATCATTTCCGTTCGTTAATTAATATCCTTTTTGCAACATAGAACTTCACAAGTAGACGAGAAATATCGCTGAGTTAAGCAATTATTCGAGTTGATTATATTAGTCATACTCCCAAAGACTTCAAAAATAAAAATAATCATAAGCTTTACATCAAAAACACGAAAAACACCGCATTGTTGGTGATGAACCGGACAGTAATTGTGACGTACTTCAAATTCATCGATTGCAAGCAACATTTAACGAAAGAAATGCAACGACTGTGATTTTGAATCAAAGTAACAGTCTTTAACTGATGAAAATGACTGCTTTAATCAATGAACTTGGAAATACACTAAAATGAATTGTCGTTTCATCATTCAAAATAGCATTTATTTATTTTTCAAGTCACTGGATTGAAGCTTAAATACTTTTTCTATCATAAAATATTCATGATAATTTCGAGTTCTTAAAATGAGCGTATAGTTTACTAAAAAGTTGAAAAAAACAATAAAAGTGTCGGGCCGGCCCAGCCCGACAAAAAGGTTTCATTGGGCCGAGCCGAGTGGTCCATTTTGAGCTCTGCTGTATAATCTTTAGTATACTAATAAAACATTTCAGATGAATCCATTGATCCCATTAGTTTTTATTAACGATACAATCACAACATGCCGTGTTTCATTCTTTCAAAAGCTTGTTATAAGTTGAAATTTTCGTTATAATACATGATTCAATAGAATAGCTTGCGCTCTACATGATTCCCATAATATTTTCCTAATTTTATTGTTTAACACATCATTAGCAAGAGCAGTACGAATTTCGTCAGACATTCTATTTCAATAGAAATTTCATGTTGAAAAATTGTTTTACTTCTCTCCTATATATATACCAATCACTGATAGACGTTCTTACACTGTCTTATTCATGCATGGAAGAAGGTAAAAGTTGTTTTTAACAGTATGGATTTGTAGGGAATCTTTTCCCGTAGGAAACTCTTATATTTGAAATCAAAGCAAATTATATCATCTAAATTATATGCCATTCTTATACTATGAATATCAGGAGAAATAAGCTTACCATAGTTCTATGTAGATAGAGGATGAAATTTAGAACAATGCATTATGTTAAGTTTGGTTTGATACATTCTTGTTTAGTGAGATACATATCCACTCTGTGTTGGAATTGCAACAAGTCGTTTTTTTACTCGTGTTATTTATAAGGTAACAAAGGTAAAGAGCTTAAAAGATATATAATCCGTTTTGATTTCAAATAGTTACAAGAATGTGGTATGGAAAAAGAGCACTACAAATCCAAGTTATTAAAATAACTTTTATCTTCTTCACTGCTTAAATAAGCCGGTATAAGACCGTCTGTCTAGTAAGTAAAAGAAGAAAATTTACAAAAGACTACATAAATGGAGTGCGAAGCGATTTCAGCTTTCAGCACTGAAGTTTCAATTAACATCAGAGTGTAAAACGATTTCATCTATAGTCGAACCTGTTCTGTCGAAAGTTTTCATTATTTCTTCTGTTCACAACAGTTAGCTGGAGACTAGTTCACCACTTTTAATTATCTAGGATAAAAGATGAAGGCCAATCATCAAAATCACCTTTTTGCGAAACTTATTAGAGATGCATGAAAACTCATATTGAAGGTTCAAAAATCTTTGTATCATCTCGAGACAATGATCTCCTTAACATAGTTCGAACGAATTTCTAACGATTCGCTGTTCTCGAGAACACCGCAACACACGGTACAGATTTCGTTACAGCGAAAAACACGTAAAGTATAGAGACCGAATGCGTACGCAACCGACAACATAAATGTTGTGCTTTGTACCGTATTAACTATGTGCAGTGATATATAACATATTCATTGATTCATGATAATATATTTAAAACATTTTTAATACTCATTCCATGTATATTTTTATTTGGCTATTTAGCATTATTTGCAATATAGATTTATTCAACAGATTTTACAACATTTACTTTAATGTTTTTTAATTTAGATCGATTACTGTAGGAAGGTGCATTATCAGTTTATAATCATGCTCTTGTTTAGATTGAGGAAAATCTTATGGCAATTTTAAATGCTATTGTTTTAACAAGGATGATATTTCTGTTTTTTTTTGCATTTGATTTATTAAAAGAAAATAGTCCAAGTGAGAAAAAACTAATGCATGAATAATATATTGAAATGAATTTCTTTTATTTAAAAATTCTCGAATGATATGCGTAAATTGAATTTGAATGAGAGGATCTACTTGTTCACCTACATTTTCTCAACATCAAGATCCAAATATATATGACTTTTAGAGAAAAATCCTGTAATATTGTTTAGTGTACATCAAACAGTATTAAGAATTTCTATAATGTCAAAGTTTGATCAGAATGTGATACCCTATATGTCATGCGACGCTCTGTGAGGTATACTCTAGAAAATGATATGTGTAGTTTGTTTTAATTCAAGTAAGTTTGCCAAATCTGACAGCATTCTTTATATATATAAAACATTTCAACAAACACTATTACGTGTACAATTCATTAACGATGTTTTCAGCTTAGCTTTTTTTCATAGAAGGTCTCTATTGTACAAGTATAAACATATTACAAAACATCTTTTTGTCACATCTATCAGAGTCTAAAAGACAAGACATACATAATTACAATTACACCTATAATATTTATAATTAGAGTAGCGATAATAGTGATTTGTCTATCCATAAAACGGTGCATATTTTGAAGTATCATTTCGAAGAAATTCATAGAGATCATTCGATGATACATTATATCTACAGAGTACACTTAATGGATCCTCAAGGTTCTGGAACATAGAATAGCTATCAAAATTACTCAACAAAGTCTATTTTCCATTTTTTTCTGCTGAGTTAAGCAGTAGAA